CGGGTCTCTCCCCGGTTCTCGGGTCTCTCCCCGGTTCTCGGATCTCTCCCCGGTTCTCGGGTCTCTCCCCGGTTCTCACCCCCGCGCTCCCCGCGCTGTCCCGGCCGCCGTCACGTGATACCGGCGGAGCCACGTCACGTGACAATCCGCCCAATCGCCGCCGCGGAGCAGCAGGCCACGCCCCCACGCACCGATGCCACGCCCCCTCACTGAACCCGCCCACTTTTCCCTTATATGGCGTTTGTGGGCGTGGCCGGAAGCGTCGGGGCGGAGCCACGCGTGCGTGGGGAGACGCGGGGGTTCGGGGGGCGCTCGGGAGAACACGGGGGACCCGGCGGGAAAATAGGGAGTGACGGAGCGGGAATAGGAGGGGACACGGGGGGCACAGGGAGGGACACAGGAGAGAACATGGAGGGGGAACTGGGGGGACGGTGACGAACGGGACCCACGGACACGCGTGTGCAACGCTCACACCCAGAGAATCGTGCCCCTGCCCCAGCCCGACCTCGCCGCAGCCTCCAAGGCAGAAGAATGAACTGTTCTGCTCCTCCACGCGCTGTCGTTCCCCCGCTCTCCGGCGCCGCCGCGCTCCCGGTCCCTCTCTTGGAGCCCTGCCCAGCCCGGGGGGCCCTTCCCGGGGGTTCCTTCCCTTTTCCCSGCTGTTTTTTCCCCTTCCCTGGACTCCCTTCATCCCTTCATCCCAGATTCCCCTTCTTCCTCCCCGGACTGACACCTCCGTAGTGGGGCTCCTTTCCCATCCTTCCATCCCGGCTGCTCCTCTCCAACCCGGCTTCCTCTTCTCCATCCCGGTGTTCCCTTCTGCAACCTTGGACTCCCTTAACATCCGCTCCGGGGGTCCTTTCCCATCCCTCCATCCCCGGATCCCCCTTCTGCATCCCCGGACTGTCACCTCCATCCTGAATTCCCTCCACATCCTTTCCCATCTCTCCATCCTGAATTCCCTCTCCATCCCGTCTCCGGGGGTACGCTCTCCGCCCACCCCTCTCCCCATGGCCCTGGCAGCAGAGCCGTGGCCGGAGCCTCCTCTCCTTCCTCCTCCTCCTCCTCCTCCTCCTCCTCCTCCCGCTGCTACCGGCGCGGAGCATTGCCAGGTGCGCGGGGAACGGGCGAGCGGGCGGCATTACGGGCAGGTGACGTGCGAGGGCTGCAAGAGCTTCTTCAAGGAAGCTCCACCTGCTCCCGCATATTTTTAGCCTCCGGCTGCCCAGCTCCAGAGCAGGTGCTTGGGGATGGGGTTTATCCATCATGGTATAAACCATGGCGTTTATCCACGTGCYGGTATCCTGGGAGCGGCTCAGAGTGCTGAGATCCTCTGGGATTTTGGTTGCATCTTTGAGCCAGGTGGTTCCTTCCCCCACCCTCTCAAGGTCTTCTCTTTCCAGGTGTTGGAATAAGATATCTGGTTCTCCCAACATCTGTCCCACTGCAGGACCTCCCAAGCTCTCCCAAGAGAAGGAGAGGGAAAGCTCTGGAACGGAGAATACCGAAGGAAAAGTGTCACTGGATACCACTCTTATCTCTGTGGGTTTTCCCATCTCTCTGCTCACGGAGCCAGAAGGAGAGTGCTCACTTGCTGGGGTGCACACTGCTAGCTGCTGCTGGAATGGGAGTCTCCTCAGATTTTCAGCAGCACTTTGTATTCCCAACCTGCTTGTTTCTCCCAGAGCCTGAAGAAACCGCAGGATAAGCAGCTCTGTGTGGTCCATCCTTGACTCCATGTCCACCTCATCCACCACTTGTGCATGCAGTTGGGAAGTCTTGGCTCTCCCTGTCTTCTCCCTTCCCCTCCCCACTGGAATTTGCCTTTTGGGATCAAAAATCCCACTGGCTATTTTTAAAGTGCTGTTGGAGCCCACTCGGCTCCCGCTCCCAGTGACAGATCAGGCTGTCAGAATCTTCAGCTGTTTTTTGCTCCCTCTGCTCCAAGCCTGGGTGGCAACAGCCGGGATTCCCTGCTTGTTCCCACCCGGAGCCAGACCCAGGCCAAGGACCAGGATTTGCCTCTGGAGGGTCTAGGGGGATTTGGTACCCATCCTGTGGCATTTGTCGGGGTAAGTGGAGTGCTGGGATCCTTGGCAGAGGTGTGGGGATGGAGGGATGGGATTTATGCCAAGCATGGCATGGAAGAAAGAATGCATCCTTTGGGATTGACTGTGCACATGGTCTATCCTGGAAAGAAGTGGGATCCACTCTTCCAAATTTGCCAAACTGGCAAAGTTTTTTCCCAAATACTTCTCTTCCTGCCCCAATCCCACTGCTCTAGCTCTCCTGGGCTCAGGTGGGCACGGGGCTTTGCTCCCTGCAGGGCAGAGCTACGTTTGGGAAACAGCAGAAACTTGGTTTAGGAGGCAGGAGGCAGAAGGCTTTCCTGAGAGTGTTCCCAAAGGGATTTGTGGGTGCTAGAATGCTGAGGGACCAACTTCCCATCCCTGTCCCCCTCCATGGCCTCTGGAATGGACCTGGAAAATCCTGGTGTGGACATTTCTGACCATTTCTCCTCCCTGCAGGTAACAGGGGCTGATGCAGCTACTTCCTGTACCTGTGCATGTGGGATTTCATGAATGCAGCCAGCATGGTCTGGCAGTCATCGATCCCTGGGGACATTGGCCACCAATCCCTGGGGACACCGGTCATTGATCCCTGGGGACATTGGCCAGCTTTGGCCTCTGCCTTGTCTGTGTTCAGGACTTGGCTGTGCCCCAGGAGGGGAAGATGTGAGAGAAAACGCTGGAAAAGCATTCCCTGTCAGGAAACATCCTGTTCCTTACTGGATACATCCCACAGGGAAAAGCATGGTGCTTTTACACAGGAACTCGCTCCTGGGAGTGCAGGCAGGGAGTTTCTAAGGACAAAAACTCATGGAGCTCTAGAGAAGCTCCCATGGGTGATGTGACCCCACGGTCCCCAAGGTTTTGAGGCTCCCACCTCCTCCTGGGGCTCCTGTGCCCCACCTTCTCTGCACTCCGGCTGTTGTCGCCGGCTGGATCAGAGCCTGGCTAAATTTAGGAGGATCGATTTCAACGCCCGCCTCTGCCCTGCAGGGGAAAGGACGGAGCAAAGGTAGCCAGGSACAAAGAGCCACGGGGGGCTCCAGTCCCTGCCTCTGGACAGGCCTCCAGAACCCCAGATTTTATCCGTCTGCAAGGCCATGGATGAACCCAGGGAGGCTGGAATTTTCCCGGGTCATCCTATGGGTCTCTCTGGCTGTCACTTGGGACAGAGCTTGTGACAAGGACACCCATGTGTCCCACAGGGAAGGAGCTCCCTGCGCTGGGAGCCAGATCGTTTCCTGAGGAGGCTGATACAGGTGAGTGGGGCAGTGGGAAAGCAGGAATGAGGGTCCAATGACATCGCTGGCACCCAGGCGYGCCTCAGGCTCTGATCCCACATGTGGTGTCCCCAAACTGAGGGAAAAGTGGAGTGCTGAACATCAACACTGAGGAAACATCTCAAGGTGTGCCAGGGGAGGTTTAGGTTGAATATCAGAGAAAATTTCCTAATAAAAAGGGTGATCAGGCCTTGGCACAGGCTGCCCAGGGCACTGGTGGAGTCATCCTTGGAAGTGTTCAGGCCATGTGGATGTGCCACTTGGGGACAAGTGGTGGCCTAGTAAGTGCCGGGTTGGACTCACTGGTGGCTGCAGGGACCCTCTTCATCCCATCTGCCAGTCTCTCTCCAATCCCAACTCTGCTTCCAGGGGAGCTGCCGAATGAAGCTGGGAGCTGCTGGTGGGTGAGAGATCTCCCAGGCTCCGCATGGATGGGAATGGGGAAACCTGCCCGCAGTAGGAGCCTGGGGCAGCTGGAAAACTCCAGCCTCTTCCTCCAAGCTGTCCTGCTCCTTCTCCTCTGCAGGCATGGTAAGGATTCACATGGGCAGAGCTGTTTCCTGGAAAAATCAGGAAACAAAGCATTTTCCAGGAAGAAACTCCATGGGAATCTAGAGCAGGCTAGATGGTGGGAGGGGGTGGGAGGAGAGGCTCCCCTTCCCCACCCCATCCCCTCTCCCAGCTGTCCCGTCTTTCCCAGTCTCTTCCCAGTGCAAGATCCTTCGCTGCAACTCCGAGTACGTGGCGGCAACGCTGCACCTGCGCGGTCCYGGCCGCGGCGCCGCGTTCTGCACCGCGCTCCGCTCCTACTCSCTGTGCACCCGMCGCACCGCTCGCACCTGCCGCGGAGACCTGGCCTTCCACTCTGCCGTGCATGGCATCGAGGACCTCATGATCCAGAACAACTGCTCCAAGGAGGGGCCCACAGCCCCGGCCCGGCCCCGGCCCCCGGCCCCCAATCCCCAGGGTTTTGAGTCGCTTGACATCTGTGATTACGAGCGGAGCTTCCTCTACAAGCACGGCCGCCCCCCTGGCTTCCAGCACTGCGCTGCCTTCGGGGACCCCCACATCCGCACCTTCCACGATGACTTCCACACGTGCCGGGTAGAGGGCTCCTGGCCACTCTTGGACAATGACTACCTGTTTGTGCAAGCCACCAGTTCACCAGTGGCCAAGGGGTCCAACGCAACAGTCACCAGCAAGGTAACACTGGTGCACAGGTTAGGCAGCAAATCCAGAGTCAAGGCACCTCCTACGCTTCCCAAAATCCCTGGAACCTTTTCAGCGAAACCCAGGGGGGGTGAGGAAGGAGGGAGAACAGGAGTGAAGGTTGTTGAAAGCACCCTCAAACACTCCTGTTGCTGCCAGGTGACTGTGCATTCCATGGGGTATCTGGAGGAATCTTGCTGGATTTGGCTCCATCTGAGTTTTCCATTGCTTAAATGGTATTTAAAAGGAAAGAAGGAAAGATTGTTGTTATCCAAAAAGGACTGTTGGAGGAATGGTGGAATGGTTTGGGGATGGATAGGTGGGGTGGAACCTGCATCCCGGGATATCCTGAGCACCTGGGATGGGGACATGGCAACCACGCTCATCTCCCTCCCACCCTGCTCCCCACAGCTCACCATCATATTCAAGAACATGAAGGAATGCATTGACCAGAAGGTCTACCAGGCCGAGCTGGACAACGTCCCGGCAGCCTTCCAGGACGGCTCAGTGAACGGGGGCRCGCGTCCGGGCGGGAGCAGCCTGCTGATCTGGGAGCGCAGCCCCGGCCGGCACGTGGAGATCCGCGCTGACTACATTGGCACCACCATCGCTGTGCGCCAGGCTGGCCGCCAGCTCTCCTTCTCCATTCGTGCTGCCGAGGAGGTGGCCCGGGCCTTCTCAGAGGAACAGGACCTGCAGCTGTGCGTGGGGGGCTGCCCCCACAGCCAGCGCCTGTCCCGCAGCCCCCGTGGGCACGGCCGTGTCCCTGCAGAGACAGCACGGGCACTCTGCCGGGAGATGCTGCCCGTGGAGGATGTCTACTTCCAGTCGTGTGTCTTCGATGTGGTGACCTCGGGGGACGCCAACTTCACCATGGCAGCACACGGGGCACTGGAGGATGCCCGGCTCTTCCTGCCCGATGCCGAGAAGCTCCACATCTTCCAGGCCGGGGGAGGCTGCCCGCTCCTCTCTCCATCCCTCCTCCTCCTCCTTCTCCCCTGTGGACTCTGGGCTGTTTTGTTGCACTTTTAACCTCTACCTGCTCTGTGGGAAACCCATGAGAGCTGCTGGCTCCAAATCTATGGCTGCAGCCGGGAAAGGTGCCTCACCTTGGAGGAGGTGTCTCCACAGCCATAAGGAATCAGAGACCCTGGAGAGGGTCATAAGGAGAGGGGAGAGATGAAGAGACCTGGTTTGCACCCACTGGTCTCACACAGATGGTGCAACTGTTCCCAGCTCCTCTCCTCAAGGCAGATGCAAATCTTTCTGTTCCATTCTGACGTGTTCCTTTTTTCCCTAAGGATGTGACATTGCAGTGCATCAAAGAAAAATAAACCCTCTGGGGCCCTCTGTCCCTCGGACCGTTTTCATGACTCACTTTCCACCTCTTTCCTGGTTTTAATCCAGAGAAATTCAACTCAGGAACCCTATAGATTCAGAAATAATGGACTCAAAGCCCAAAGCTCAAATTTTAGCAGTAAGAAATGGTTTCTAATGGATTTGGGGCCCTTCACTCATTTGCTCCCAAAGCAGAGCAAGGCCACAAATTTGTTTTGGGAGCGTTGTGACCAAAAGAGTGACTTTTGAGTAGAACTCAGCCGGTTTTCTCCATATGCTCCTCTTCCTGGATAAATAACAGGTCAATCTCCAGCAGTGGGAGCTGTGGAGCTTCACGCCTCCTATTTCCCAGGCCACTGTTGCTATTTTTCCTTGTTTTCTTGGCACCTGTTGCGGACTCAATTTAGCTGGGTCTGGACTTGGGACCAGTGTCATGTTTCAGGGAGGACAAAACAACCCTTGGGAATTCTCTCCCTTGGGCCGAGATTCTCTGTCACTGCTCAAATCCAACCCAAACTGGAGCCTTCACTTGGAAAATAGAATTTATCGTGGCAAAGAGCCAGCTGGGCACACAGATGGGCAGGCTATTGCCCCATGGAAGGTGTAGAACTGCAGAGGGGAGGGCAAATTTCACATATTTCAGAGGACTTCAGTAAAGCAGATGGAGTTCTACAGGAGAAATTTTTTCCCACAGGGAAGACTTTATTTATAATAAAGTATTAAAAACTTGGCCATCCCTGTCCTACAGAATTGCAGGAAGGGCTTGCTGAGATGGGGGAAAGGGAATTACAGGCCCTCCAGGCATGGAGGCTCTATCAWGGGAGGTTCTATAATTCATGTTTCAATACATCCATGGGGTTTTCTCTCTATTTATTCTTTAAGGCCAAGAGCCCAAAGAGTAAATATGAAAATATTTCATAGATATCATGGCAAATTCCCCATTGAAGGGGCACTCGGATCACACAGTGACAAGTGGGAGACCTGCTCCTTGTCTTTTACCGTGCTCCCAGTAATCCCTGATGGGTTTGACATTAAAGGGGTCTATTTTTGAGTCCCCGTTTTCTGTCATCTGTCTCTCCATGTCCTTGAGCAGCAGTAGTAGGTGAGTATAATAATATCTTCTTCYTCCCCTGCTCCTTTACTCCAGAGCTTTGAGTGGATGAAAGGAAGCAGGAATGAGGAAAGGAAAGCAAGCTGCTTCCTGATGTGCTTCATGTGTTCCTGTGGGGAGAAAAACATCTGGGGATGAATAAAATCCTCTGTGGGGGATAAAATCCTTTTTATCCTTTTAAAATTTTCTGCAGGAGAAAGCCCTGTTTGGGGACAAAACTCTCCATTCGGATAAAATCCTCTGTAGGGATAAAATTGTCAGGGCTCATGGTGCTGGAGCTCCTGGTAGAAATGGGATTGATTTGATGATGCAGAACCTAATAGTTCTTTGGTTGTTGGCCAGTGGAGCCAATTAACAAGAATTTCGRAAAGGAAGGCTCCCAATGGAACTGGACTTTCTCTCCTCCTGAACAGCCCACCATCTGCACCACCAGCACTGGGGCCTGGCGCCTTCCTTGCCAATCCTTCTTCAGGAGCTCACCTCTGAAATTTAGAGCCCAGTTCCCAAACTGAAAATGTTCGGGTATTCTGGTGACCTGCCCCTGATTTGGAGAGCTCTGGTTCCAGGTTTGAGGCTCGGTAGATCCACCTGCCCCAGTCACACCAGGAGCTGCCCAACACAGACGTGTCTGACAGCTGGATTACAACAACAGCTGTTGCTGATRAATTACAGATTCATTAAGGTTGGAGAATCTTCTGAGACTGTTAATCATTAACTGTCCCACAGCGCTGCCAAGGCCACCACTGACCCATGGCCCCAGGTACCACATCCACTTGTTTTTGAACACATCCAGAATGGTGCCTCCACCATTGCTCTGTTCCAATGCCTGACCTCCCTACCCAAAACCACGTTTTCCCAAACATCCAACCTAAACTAAACCTTCCCTTGAGGCCTCTTCCTCGGGTCCTGCCCCTTGGGAGAAGACCCTGATGCCCCTGGCTCCAACCACCCACACTGGGCAGCTGGATGCTCAACCAGCCAAAGTGGGCTCCTGTCAGAGCTCGACGGAGTGGCTGAGGTGTTTTTGAGCAGGTGACATCCTCCAGGCAGGGAAAGGGTTGATCCAAAGTCTGCTGACGTCAATGGAAACACGCTTGTTGACATCAACAACTTGGATTGGTGCCGATGTTCTGCTCCCTTTTTTGGGCTGGGGGAAAGGTCTGTACCCTGCCTCAGCACGGCTCTACCAAGTCTCATGTCTCCCTTGTGCAGAGGAGGAGCAGAGTGGAACAATTTGGGAATGGGCCAGGCCCATCCCATGCTTGGCACGTTCCCCCCACTTAACTGAACCCCTGCCTGGCTACAGCTCGGGTTTGAGCCTCTGCAGAGTGTCCAGAGGAGGTGGTGTCCCTGTGACAGAAGGGATGGTGGCTTTTTGTGACAGAGGGAGGTGGTGGCCCTGTGGCAGAGGGAGACAGTGCATCTGTGACAGCGGGAGATAGTGGCCCTGTGACAGCAGGAGGCAGTGGGTCTGTGACCTGCTGTGACACCCCAATACCTGCCCTGATCAGARCCAGGCCTGCAGCCCCCCGGGTGGCCCAGGTTACCTTGTCTAGAAAGCAAAGGAATAAGGAAATTTTTCTCCTTTTCAGCAGCCAAGGCTGCTCCAAGGCTGTGAGTGAGAGCTGGGGAATCCAGCCTGGGGAAGAGAAGGCTCCAGGGAGAACTGGCTGGGTGGATGGATGGATGGATGGATGGATGGATGGATGGATGGATG